TATTGTGCGTCATCTTTATTTATTAAATATCATGTTCAACGCACTTAAACCATAAAATCCAATTCAATAGACGCAAAAATTATTCTCAATGAAAATGGAGGAATATGAGCCCGCAAGTGGCGACATAAAGTGCTGACATGTTAATAAATCGATAAACGCTAAGGAAATTAATGAGATACTATTACCCTTTTTTATAGGAAATTACTTTTATTTCCTATTAAATACAGCATCCATTTCTATCACTCCTTTTAAAAACATCATTTATGGCAAATTTTGTTATGTCTACGGTAAAGGGAATATTTAAGAAACGTAAAACCTGGAAGAATCACGAAAACTGCCATGCAGACAGATCGTCCGCCTCTTGCTGAAGTCTCTAAGCGGCTATTGAATTTGAACAAAGCTCAAATTGTAAATATTTACTACGAGTGTTAGAGAAAAAACTTAATCAGGATGTTGTGGTTTGAATTTTTGAATTTATTAGTTAAAAATACTTTGCTTCATTGCGTACCACCTATTTTTCTGTTGCGTACCATCAGTGGTACGCGTACCACCGACCCCCTGCCATAGACGGATGGAGAACATTCTGGAACGAATTCTTACCAGTTTGGCCCAGATTGTTCTCGAAGGCATAACACGTCTGATATCGAAGTTTTATTACTCACATGCGTTAAAATTTTAAACGTATATATGTGTTTATATTTCATTTTATATCAGAAAATAAATAATTTGCTTATACAAATGTTTTTTGAGAGTGCAGCCTTTTTTATGTGCACGTTAAGCCATTTAATATTCATAACACTCGAGAAATAAACTATTATGTATCATATAGTAGCTCCAAATTTATTCTTATTCTCATGGTTATACTTAAAAATTTTAAAGACGTTAATAAAGCCTAGCAGAACTTACTAGTCAATCAAATTGCGAAAATGCGCATTTTTCAAACTGTAGTATTAGATACTCTGAGATTGTTACGAAGGGCAGAAGCCTAAATATATCAAATTTTCCATAATATTCTAAATTACTAATACCAAGCTTTGTATTACTAAAGCAGGGCTTAGAAGTCAACATTATAGTTAGTTTTATAGATACTAAATGTTAATATCTCGAAAGTATTAGATTCCGGAGTAAATAAATTCCCTGTTTAATATTCATTTGTCTAGTACATAGCCCCATAGGAATAACTTGTGTTTGAGTAATTCCTTCTCATCTGAGCCTAGCTCTAATTTACTTAAGTATCTTTCTCTGTTTAATAAGTGTCTCATACTAAACAAGTGACAAACAAGGAACTGTTTAAGGTTTAATTATTTTAATTTAAATGAGGAGCAGATGGCACGAATTTCCGCTCAATTGTTCCAACTAGCTGAGAAGTAATGACCCAATTCTTGAAAGCATTCCCACCAAAGTGAACATCACGACACTCCTATTTTAAGAGGACTTAGAAATTTAACAATTTGCATATTAGTAGCATAGGAAGTTTTCAGCTTGCAATATGGATACTTGATAATTGAGCTTGGAGACAGAAGTGATAATGAAATCTGCAGTAATAGAATAATGCATGAGATAATAGGTACGAGAAACTATCTGAAACTACGGCTATGCTTAACAATTTCAATTCAGCAAGTTTTGATATCAGTTCAGAAAATCTTCATAGCAAAAAAAAAAATTACTGTACTTGAGCATTATCGAAAAAATAATCGAAGCAAATAAATCTGGAATATAATTTTTGCCTTTAATGTTTTATTAATTTTTCTTAATTGTTTTAAAAGGATAATTTCGTGATAATATTTTATATCTAGTTAAGGAAGAAATTTAAAAGAAAAAAGAAATTTTGGAAGTAACAAAAAATTATAGAATATGCTCTTTAAAAAGGAAATATGCTTCTGTTCGTTGAAATAGTAATATTATATAAAGCATTTCTCCGGCCTTCTTAGCATGCCTTCGTGATGTAGTGATCAGCAGCTTCGGCTCTTATTTGAGAAATCCGCGGTTCGAGGCCCGGCGAGGGCATTGCTCATTTTTCATGACGTCTGCTTCAAAAACATCCGAATGACTCTACAGTGGTTCCCGAACTAAAAAAAAAGGTGGTGAATGATGATTCTCTATCACCAGGATTTAGCCATCGGGGCCCTTAAAACCCCAGTCGCCCTTTAAAGGCGGGAGTGTATAAGGTATTTCTCCTGCCTTCTTAGCACACCTTCCTGGTGTAGTGGGCAGCTCGGCGCGTATTCGAGAGGTCCGTGGTTCGAGTCCATGGTCCGAGGGCATTGCTCATTTTTCATGAGTCCTGTTTCAAAAACTGATATGATTTTAGAATTATGCTTTTATAATTATGATTTCTAATGATTTTATAATTATGATTTCTAATGATTTTAGAATTATGATTTCTAATGATTTTAGAATTATGCTTTTAGAATTATGATTTCTAATGATTTTAGAATTATGCTTTTAGAATTATGATTTCTAATGATTTTAGAATTATGCTTTTAGGATTATGATTTCTAATGATTTTAGAATTATGTTTCTTCAGACTTCCAATTATCTATACTAAAATTAATAATTTATTATCATTCATAAAATAATACAAAGTTCAAAACCTAATTATAATATATTTTGTAAAAGGTTCTCAAACATTATAATTTGATATCACTATTAATGCTTTTGCTTTGGTTTGTCCATTATCTGAAATTTCGTTAGCATTTATTAATTACATTATTTCGTATGTGTCTATTAATTGCATTATTTCTGTACATAGCTCTGTTTATTATTTTTCATAAATATTCCATTTTTGCTTTATTTGTTTAAATTATGTTTACAAATTATGTTTTAAATTATGTTTTAAATTATGTTAAATTATGTTTTAAATTATGTTTTAAATTATGTTAAATTATGTTTTAAATTATGTTTATGTTAAATTATGCTTTTGTAAATTACGTATTAAACATACGTAAGTCATTTGGATTTTATAAAATGTAATCTTCCTCCATTCATGTTTCTGAAACTATTATGAAAGAAATTATCATACTTTTCTAATGTCCTCAGAAATACTGTTTCAAAGACTTAAAATAAAACTCAGTGTGAATGACTTCTTTAAAAACAAACCGTTTACTATTCACAGACAGTCCAACAACTTTGAAAGTTTATTCGTTTTGGAGCTAACTTCAGTAACAGTAAGTTCAATTAATTTTTAAAACAAAGCTCTCATAGTTTAAAAAGAGAAAAAAATGGAAAACCATTTAAATGTTTATCAAGTATCATTCCATATCCCCAAAACTGCAATCTACTAAGACTGAACTTCTATTAAATATATGGCAGTTATCAAAAATTTGGTTACCCTAAAAATTTTCTCTCGGAACATTTCTGCGCAAGTCACTTTGAAAGTCCCCATATGCAATATTTCTATTAGCTTTCAACACCATTAGCTAATTTTGGTTCCTAGTGATATAAAACATTCTGTATTCTAAATTCGAAAACTCGAAAGTCATTTCTCAATCTGATGCCACTTACTCCAATAAACTGTAAACAATAGTACTAATTCTATAACTACTTTTTAATATTAAATCAGAAGCAAATGAAGCGAAAAGATCCAAATATAATTATAACTTTTCGTAAAAGTCTAAAGTCTTCTCTAAAAATTCAGTTATCATTAAAAATCACATTTATATCCATAAAAATTTCTGAAACACAAAATGAAGTGAATATCATATAATAGCTATAATTTTAATTTCTAAAAGGATTCTTTTGTGTCTCAATAAAAACGTAAAATTGGTACAAATATTTTTTTTCTACTTAATATATCATTATTTGTAACAAAGTGTTAACAAACAATTTATATCATTATTATAAAAGTCGTAATCATCATAGACCAAAATGCAGTACTAAATTGCAAGATAAGAGTACATACTATAAGCCATATAAAACTTATACTGTTGTCTCGCGGAATGTATTCAAGTATTTCATTCCTTCAGTGTTAAAAACTCTGCTAAATCAAATCATTAAAAAATACTAATTTTACATGCTGCTAAATGGGCTATACCCTCCTTGAATGTCCCACACTGGAATTCCGTTTAATCACATTGCTCTTAGTTCATAACATGTTTTATGCATACTATTGGACTACTATCACTTACATTCTAAAGCATTGCCTTGAATTTATTAGTAAATTATTCGATTCACTGTTAAATTACGTTCTACAATGTTCCAGCAATAAGAGGTTTAAAAAATATCGGAATCAAATTTCTGTAACTCCAACTTTTATATCCTATAGCTTATAATTCATTTTCTCCTGCTGAACGTTTTTTAAATCAGACACTTTTTTTTAATTTGCAGTTGCTATATGAACATAAAAAATTTACATATGGAAAACATCCTCTATCATATTATTGCTGACACCTATATTTTCAGAGAATAAATTTTTCGGAACACTGGATTTTATTTTTGTTTTGATGAGATATAATTTCATGAGCCATAAATAACTTATTCATTCTAGAGAGAATGAAAGAAAATGACTTAATCCTGTAATTATAAATATACTCTCAGTTAAAAATTGCATTGATTTCGTGAATCATGTTTTCACTGAAACTGAATTTTTTGATTATGCCTATATCCATGTAACGTTAAGTGATGATTTAAAAGATTTAAATAACTTGAAATTTTACGACTCCAGAGGGATACTGTTATTTGCATTTTTTCTATGCTATAATTACAACTCCAAATGAATGTAATTTTTGGTAGTATAAAACTCTGCTAATGGTAAATTATGAATTATAAATGGGAAGTTTTTTATGTGTTCATATACCTTTTTCGGAAATTGCATTATGTATTGAAATTTTATGTTTCAGAGTTGACAGTTATTGTTTTAAAATTTTAATTCTTTCCTTTTTCTTCTTGATCCATAATTATTTGTTTATAATATATGATTTTTAACATTATGCAAATAACTTATTTTTCACAAATTCAGCTTGGGTGCAATTTGGAATCCCTTAATATGTTTCTAATTTACTTCCAGGAGTCAAGAGATGAGATATGAAATGCTCGGTCAGTTTATTCTTTGGTCAGCTCTGGCGTTCGGTTCTGCTGGTGGAGATGATAATTATTTTCACACACTTCTACGCCGACGCCGTTCCAAGCCCTAAATCCTTGGCCCAGCTCTCACCTGATGCTGAAGACTGCCCGAAGTGGGAAGAAAGTCCTTGGTGTCCTTGCTATCAATTTGAAGACGGTCTCTTTCTTGAATGCCCAACTACAGGAATCAATGAAATTCGGATAACATTATCTCTTATCAATGTGCCCATCAAATCTCTAGGAATTTACCACCTGGATAAAAACATAACCATTTTTCCTCCTAAAGTGTTCATTAATGCTTCCATATCTCATCTACTTATGTCTTACACTAATCTTGAACATATTGATGATCAAGCATTCACTGGATTAGAGGACAGCTTGGGCAGTTTATCCATCGTCAATAGCAAGTTAAAAGAAGTTCCTCAGAAAGCCTTGAGTAATCTGAAAGTGCTCACGTCTGTGGACTTTGATTCAAATGATATTCATAAAGTGGATAGTTATGCTTTTTATGGAGTGCCTCTGACAACAGTTAATCTACAAGGTAATAAAATCGACACCTTATCTGAATATGCTTTTGGTGGCCTTGAGAATACATTGCAAGAACTCATTCTTATCAACAACCGACTAAGCCGTTTCCCACTCAGTGCTCTGAGACGACTGAGGAAACTAAAATCTCTTAGATTAGTCAAGAATTTCATTGACGATATACTCGATGACGGTTTTACAAGATTTACAGATTTAGAGACTCTAGATCTGAACTCCAACAGACTGAAAGAACTGCATGATCGTAGTTTTGTGACAATGCCTAGACTTACTGTACTATCACTTCAAATGAACAAACTGGTTAGCTTGGATGACAGAGTATTTATCCACTTGAGGGAATTAGAAAATTTAGATTTGAGTCACAATCGTATAGTTTTGCTCAATCCCCGTGTTTTAAGCCCTCTGCACAAGCTCAGGACAATTGATTTGAGTTTTAATCACCTTCATTCTATTGAAGGAGGGGTTTTTCATAATCTAACCCAACTGAGAGAAGTTTTTTTGTCAAATAATAATATATTAAAAATTACGAATGATACTTTGTACAATAGCTCACAGATTTCAGTTCTTTTTTTACCGAATAACGCAATTACTTCTATCGATATCGGATCATTTCAGTCATTGCAAAATCTTTACCAGTTGCAATTGTCCTTCAATCAGCTTCGTGAAATTCATCCCATGCTATTCAAAAATAATCGGGAACTCCGCTCGTTATCTATGGATAACAATTTAATAACTGATATTCAACCTGGAACGTTTCAAGAGTTGATTGAACTTCGAGATTTGCGACTCCAAAACAATTTGCTCAAACGAATAAGGAAAGGAAGTTTTTATTCTTTACCAAACCTTCAGGAGTTGCATCTACAATTTAACCGCATAGAAATAATAGAAAAGGAAGCCTTACAAAGTTTGGCAAACCTGCAGCATTTAAATATACAAGGAAATAAATTGATTGAAGTTGGTGATATACTCAGCAGATACCCCTCCAGTTTGAGATCGCTTCAAATCAACCATAATGAAATAACAGTCTTGCATGAAAACAGCCTTAAAGGCTTGAACAAAATGGAGATAATTTGGTTGGATTGCAATAAAATTAAAAGACTTCAGAAGGAAATTTTCCAAGATCTAACAGAAGTTCAAAAGCTTTATCTCAACCATAATGCTATATCAGTGATAGAAGATGGCACATTTTCTGAAATGAAGAGACTAGAGTATTTAAATTTAGAATTCAATAATTTGAATCATCTGAATGCCAATGTCTTTGCGGGTGCTGTAGACCTAGAAGAAGTTTACTTGTCTCACAACAGAATAATGGATATCGAACCATTAACATTTCAAAACCTTCAGAATTTGCGAATATTACATTTGTCTGAAAATCAAATTTACGTTATTCGTAAATACATGTTTGAAGGTGACAGTCTTCTAGAAGAACTGACGCTTTCTAATGCTATGATTGAAAGCATAGAAGATAATTCCTTTTCTCATTTGACGAGCTTGGCAAAGCTTGATCTCGGCAAAAATCGTTTACTGGCTATTAAAATAACTTTCTTAAATAATTTACGGCATTTGGATTTAAGTTATAATAATTTAACAGATAGAGATGGCATAGAACTTCAAGGACTTAGTGGTTTGTCATCTCTGAATCTAGATTATATTGGAGCCGACAAGGTGCAAGAATATTTGTTTGAGTCATTAACTGACTTGCATTCGCTGTACATACGTGGTAATGGCATAAGGCAATTGGATTCATCACTGTTCCATAATCTGCCTGCACTACGGGAATTATATATGGATCATAATGAGCTTCCAACAATTCCTAAAACTGCCGTTAAAAAACTAACAAAATTAGAAGTATTATCTATAGCTAAAAATAAGCTTAAGATTATACCTAACATGGCATTTAGCGACAATGTCATTTTAAGGAAACTGAACTTATCTGGTAACAGCATCAACGTCATCGAGAGGAAGGCATTCCATAACCTTTCAAATTTAATCGATTTGGACCTGTCTGGAAACTCCTTAAGTACTCTTCCCTCGGGAATTTTCGAATCACTGAGTTCCATGACATCACTGAGATTAGATAAGAATCTCTTCTCATTTATACCAAACTCCGTCCTCTTTTCGCCTATGCCGAATTTAAAACTGTTATCATTTGATGAAAATGCTTGCCTTCGTATAAGAGAAGACATGTCATCTTTGGAAACATCTCATAAAATTCAAAATCTGAACATCAGTCGTAGTAACATAACTGTCATCGCTTCTCATGATTTTCTGGTCTTTTCAGAACTGCTATCTTTGTCTCTCCGATCTAATGCCATCGCTAAAGTATCGCCTGGAGCTTTCAAGCCCTTAACGCGTCTTCTCGTCCTTGATCTTGGATATAATGAATTGGACATTCTACCTGAAGAGAGGTTTTCTGGCTTAATAAGCCTTCAGTCACTTAATCTTACACACAACCACCTCTTGGAATTTCCTTCTGTAAAAGAAGATCTAAAGCATTTGACAAAACTAGATTTGTCATATAACAAACTTATCAAAATTGATGGGGATAATTTTGACAGAATGTTTAGTTTGAAATCCCTCAATCTACGATTTAATAAATTAACATGGATTTCGCCGAGTGCTTTTGACAATCTTTCAAGCCTTCTAGAGCTAGATATCAGTAACAACCAGATTAAGCACTTTAGCAGCAATGTATTAATTCCAGCTGAAGTTAGAATGACGACACTTAAACTGTCAGGTAAGTATAGCGTATTACTTTATCATGCAACGTAATGCGTATTGCATTATAAATAAATCAATAACATACCATATATTCCGGCGTATAACGCGTACTTTTGATACGAAAAATGAGATCGGAATTTAGGATTCCGCATCATACGCCGAATATAAAAATGACACATTTAAAAATAAGGAAGCGAAGAGCATACAGAAATTAGATTTCTACGTGTAACCTAAACGCTGTTTATTTAAAAGAAATGGCACACCTTATGAACATTAGAATTTTCATAACTTCTTTTGCGTAAAGCGTATTAATTATCGTGCTTTCATTCATTTAGAGAAAACATCTGACTTCTAATTCCGGAATTTCATTCGGGTCGGAATTCTTCCCCGAATTATATTCCCCTTTTCTCAAAACCCTAGAAAACCATTCTCGGGTACACCTGCAGTTAATACAGATATCACTCACTTAGCAGAATTATTTACTCTATTAAGTCCTTCCCCCACATGTTTTCCCTTATCGCTTATCAGTTCAGTATATCATTTTTCGAAAGTTTGATGAAAATCTTCGAGTGAATGACTTCAGAACATAAGAGAATCACACGTGTATCTTTCAAGGTTCTTCTTAAAGAAACGAGTACTCGTTACATGGCGAAAATACCCCAATTTTTTTTAATGTAGTTTAAAATTGTAGGTGGCGTTATATTATATATATTGTAAAACGTATATTGTAAAACATCCATTAACAGTTATAAAACAGTTTTTTTCCTTTTTAATATTTTTAATACTAAAACAAAATTTTATAACTCTGTTTTCAGAAAAACGAAATTCTTTGATAACATACAAAAAAAAAAAAAAAAAAAACCTCACTACTTTTTGCCATTTTCAGCCTTATATTTTTTCATATAACTTTCTACAGAACTGAAAAATTAAATCGATTCTTCAAAGTAATTCATTGCCTTTATGATGAATATTTTTCACAAAGCAATTTTTAACATTTTCAATTACTTTTCTTTAAAATATTATTTATACCCGCTCTGTAAAACACTTTAAATCGTGCTATTTCAAAGAATTTATAAATCTCTACTCTAGAAGGAATAGAATTATTTTCATTTAAAAAATATGGATACTAATACACTTCGTCACCAAAACAATAATAGAAAATACTTTTAAATTACATATTATTAAAATCTAAATCTGAAGTTTTGCAGATAACAGCATTATACAAATGACTTTATTTAACTATGCAATATTGATAATGAGTAGGGCGTCTAAATGTTAACAGAAGTTTTAAAACTTATATTTGTAAAATATGATTCTGTTTGTTTTCTGCATGCTTGTCTTCTATATTTTTATGTAACTTTGCATGTCCGTGGAGCTATGGGATATTTTCACAGAACCCAATTATATTAACACCTTGCATTCTTTTGTTATATTTGTTTGAATTTTTGAAATGCTGCTAATATTTTACAAGATGTCCTTTAGATACACTAGCATAGTCCACAAAGTGTGATAAACTTCAAATAAGACAAAAACAAAAACATAACTAAAAATTATAATTTTCTTTATAACTTAAGTTTTAATGATAATTACATAATTACTCGTGTAAAAGTCTCATGGCCAATAATGATCTTTTAAATACAAAAATTGCTGTTCGTGATTTCACTAAATCCCTGTTGTACTAGTTATCTAAGTTTTGAATTCGTAACGATAAATATCGATTGCATAAATTCAAACAAAAAAAATCAACATAAATTACTTTCTTTATGGAGATGATATTTTGAAATCAGTAAGACGCTTTAACGTCGCCGAGCTTCTGGGATTGAAAAATTAAGACAAATTGTTTTTTTAGATTTATTATTAAAAAACTTAACATACGATTTCTTGATTAATTAAGAAGTATCATTACAGTATTATTATAGAAGGGGAAAGACAACAGTTTTCCCGACGCTTGAACGCGTCTTACTCGCTTGGCAATACGCAGACAGGAAGCGAACAGGAAGTTCTCTAAGAACACACATATATTGTGTTGTTACAACACGTTACTAATTTTTGACATTAGGTTTTACTTGTTAGGTGTAAATGTCAGTCCTGAAAACCTGTAAACGCACTTTATACATACATACTTACCAAACCTTTTACCCTATTAGGGGCACAGCTTGTACTGCCAGGTACTTGAGGCCCCATTATTTCAAAAAAATGTTGACCCATACAATATAAGTTATAAATTATAGTGTAACAATGGAATAATAGTTATCCGGGCATCTCCACAAACAACCATGACTACATAACTCCGCTGAGCACCAATAATTCAAGCCGGCTTGAAACTCTATAAAGCGAACTGTTTTCAAAATTTTCTCCAAGTGTAACGTGAGTTTATTCCCCTGAGTCAGAACTCCCTTCGTGTGCTTTGTCATAGCGGACTAATAAACTGACTAATAAGTGCACACAACGTATGGTAAGTTTTCAGCAGCCATTTACATAAGAACCTGTATTCATCTGTAACAACAGATCGTGTTCTGAATATTAAGTTTATTTTATTGCATAAACTGCAGGAAGATTATGAGTCATTACAACACAAAAACATATAATTGTACACAAATGCTAGCAAATCTCATTAATAAGGGTATTTGAGGCTTGAAAAAATGTCTTTACAGAAATCAATCTTAGTAGTAACCTGTTATAAAAGTATAATCTGTTATAAAAGAGACAGTGAAACTAGTATTTTGAAGAATCCTTTGCTTTGTAGAAAATAATAAATATTTAAAAAATACTTCATATAACGTCAAATTTTACAGAAAATTACTAAAGTCTTCGGAAAACTTATTTTTCTGCCGTAGATGTTTCCGTTCTGTAATATACTATCAATTTATATGGCTCTCGTTAGTCAATTTGAATATAAATTTTATTTTCCGTTTAGTATTTCTTAAACAAATGATTTAATTTTGAAATGTCCAAAAAAGAATATCCAGATGTAAAAGTTAATGATTTATTTATTACTGTATCTGTAAATTATTCATTTGTTCATTAAAAATGGCTAAAGAAAAGAATCTTTATTGAACTTTTAGAAATTATTTCTTCCCGTGCATAGGTACTTCATCAAAATGTCATACATTTATTTATTTACATTTTAATAGTAAGTTTCAAAATCCTTTAAAAAGTTTTGTTTAATTAACCTTGGGATTTTAAAATTTTGAGAAATTGTGAATATGAGAAGTTAAAAAGTATAGTGTTTGAATTGAAATTTTAAAGAAATTTAACGATTTTTGGCAGTATGTTTTATAAAGCATAAAATAAAATTTTAAATTTCTTAATCGCTTATCACCTTTCCTATCGAATTCTTAAATTGAAAAGCATGTTGCACTAACTGCATGATACAAAAAAGAATAATTTAAATTATGAGTTAATTATATTTTTGTGTGACAAAATCTTTCAAATTTTAAACTAATTTAATCATTTCAAACTTGTATTATAATTGCACGTACACTGCAATATTTTCAAAAACTTTATTTCAGTAACTCAAACAGAGTATTAGCGTAAGATGCTTCCAGTTAAACTCAAACAGAAGGCAACGAATTCAGTTCAATGCATTTCTTAAATTTAGACCCTAAAGGTTCAATATGGATTTTTGCTATTACTTAACATTTGTTACTTCATATTAACTGATAAATAACTATTCCCATTTCAAAAGAAAGCAAAATATTTATTGAACGCTATATTTTATGATTTACTAAAAATAAAAATTGTCCATATATCTGTCGTTTCTTGTAGAAAGTGATATAAAGATAAATTTAAAAAACTTACTTCCATAAAATTAAATTAAAAACCTAAAAATTTAAACAAATTAATAAATGTCTTTATAATGGCATCTGAAGGAGAAAAAGTACTTTTCAAACTTTATGTTAACATTTGTTAAATTTTACTTATTCCATTGTTATTGGTTAAATTATTTGTGCTTTTAATATTCGTTAAAAACTTTATAACCATTGCTTTTTAACATCTAACTATTTTTGTAAGTTTAAAAATAATTTTGATTTTGATTTTTTTTTTGGTATCTCAATTATAAATACAACCTATGTTTTTAAAAGCTTTTGTTAAATTAATTGCTATTTTATAAACAGTAATTAGTTGAATTTATAAACAGTTAAATTAATTGCTATTTTATAAACAGTAATTAGTTGAATTTATCAACAGTTAAATTAATTGCTATTTTACAAACAGTAAGCAGTAATAAACAGACTTATACTGTCACTGGTTGGAGGGAAGCAAGATTTGCTTTAACCGAATCAGCTTAAAGTATATACATATTTAAATTTCTTCGTTCATATTTAACCAATGTAGTTGTCACATTCTTGTACTAGTTCTTATTCTTCTTTTCCCGATTCTTGCCAAAATATTTCATAAGTAACACAAATTCTCTAACTTCCTTGCAGGAAACCCATTCCATTGTGACTGTCTTATGCTAACTCTCTGGGAATGGCTGCAAGAGCATGGAAGATTCCTCCACCAAGATGAATTACCACTGGTTTGCGCACATCCAGAAAAACTTCGGGATCACTCTATTCTCACTTTGCATCCTTCAGACATCTGCCCATCACCTTTGATTTCTGACCTCGAGGTACAAAGACTCGATTCAGATCATCTGACTGTCGCTTGGGAGGTACAAAATGGCACCCTGATTGGTGGATTTACTGTTACCTATCACATTACTACATCTCGGTCACCTGTAGTGCTTGCGAACCTCCAGGCCACTGCCAGACACCATGATCTAGAAGACTTACTACCAGAAACATGGTACACAGTCTGTGTAACTGCTACAGGAAAATATTTAAGAATGTTTGCTAATAAGCCAATTCCTTATGTGACAGAAAACGAAAGGACTAGCGAAGTGACAGCCAATAATAGAAAGTGCCTCCAAATAAGAACACTGGCCAAAACAGACAAATCAAAGATTACTCTGTCTACCCTCGGAATCATATTGGGTAGTAGCATTAGTGCCGCGCTTGTTCTTACTCTATCCATCCTGCTTACAGCCTTAAAATTCAGGCGCAGAAGGAGGAGGCCTGTCAAAAATGACGTACCTCAAGAGTACATCTCCTACCGGCACTTTTCAATTCAGTCTTCTGAAGGAGTGTATTCGTGATTATTTTCAGATCACTGTAAGGATATGTATAATTAAAAGAGTGAAAGAAAAGTATATTAACTTCTGCTACATGAATAGCAAAATTGAATTTATTTAGAAAGCATAATTCAGAGAAGTTTTATGGTACTGCATTAAACTGAAGATTATACTGATAAATCAGCGAATGTTTGTCTTCCTGCAATTAATGAGTCCCCATATTTAAATTATTTTATTGTTTTACCTTTGGCAGAAATTATTATTTTTTCATTGTTACCACCGCTTTAATTAGCTAGTATTTGCAAAATTATTTACCCAATTACTTAACAATTTTTTACCCAATTGCTTAACAATGATAAGTTAATTACCTAGTTATAATTTATTGTACTGCATATATAAACTTAATATTTATTACTATATATAAAAATATTTTTAATTGCTTTAAGCTTAATTTTGTAATTCTGAGACTTCGGTTTTTATAAATTTTGAATATGACATTCTTCTGGATATTCGGAACTTGTTAATTTTCAGCGCGTACATATACTATATGTATAACCTGACAGCCATATCATTACCCAAGATAAATAATTTCTACCTTTTTCCTGTTTACAGAAACTCTGTGGTACGTAATATGATATTATGATATCTGTATAAAAGCAATATGTATGGAGTATTATTTTGGCATACTGTGTGGCAATAATTGATACATGTTTCTGCAGAAGATAAGGCTAAATAAAATGTATATGATTGTTATCTTCTAATTAGAAAATCATGGATAATAGTACTGCACTGAGTGAAAGTGCTTAAAAAAGAAATAATAGTATTCAAAATTTATTTCATTTAAAAGATTATAATAAAACTCTTAAACATTAATCAAAATATGAAAATATCCAAAGGAAATAAATATCCTGAAATCTTTGGCATATGTAGATTATATCCCACATAAAGGATTTATATGCTCAATAAGGACCGTATTTACTGAAATAAATAATTTTTTAAAATCGGTATAATGAGACAATATGTCAAATCACTAATTTTATTATCTACGATATAGTACGAGCAGTACATCTGAAGCTCGAGCAGAATATCACTTCGATGATTAGGCACACCTTACATATGAACATGAATTTCATCAACGATTGCAAGGAATCTTTATAAATGTTTAATAACATGAAAAAATGACTTTATCTTTGAGTTTTTGAGACTAAATCGTTGAAGTGCCGGCAAGTTAATGTATTCTTCAATTATATTTACTTTAGTTTCCTGGAATATATTTCTTTAAGCCAATGAAGCAATTTGGAAGAAAATACCTTTACTTGTAGCTGTTCGGAGACATTTCTAATTAACAGGACCAATCATTAGCATAATTTGTTAGCTTGTGAGAACGTGACGTGTGAGAAGGAAGGAACAGAACTCTGCTGAGGAATCACGGAGCATGCTAATCTTCCGAACACGGAGAAATCACGAGGACAGTTACAAGGATTTAACTCCGTTTGATGAATGACTCGACTGCTACCAATGCCTCTCAGATGTGGTATGGTTTAAATAATGATACCTGTTCGCTGACATATGATCTACGCATGCAAACATTCAGACAGTTACATTTGTCAACAAGATTCATAGTTCTAAACCACAGATCTCTGATACGAGAGGCGTCATCCAAACCCTGTGCTTGTTTCGTACTTCAGGGACCTCATCTAGGACCAAGTGTAGAAACAGCTGAACTTAACAGTTGAGAGTCAACCCATCTATCTAATCAAAAGTGATGGCAAACTTTCTTATGACTTTAACTGGATAGCAATTTGCTAATATTTCGCGTATATCTGTATAAATGTGTTTTTAAAGTGTAGTTACGATGATTTTTTAAAAGAAACATAACTTTTCATTGGAATATTTGCTCTGTTGACTTGATATCGTGTGATATATAAAGGTGCCAAAGTCTGTGAAAGAATCTTTAAGTCCAACGTGAAAGTTATAAGTATGTGAAGATTAAGAAGAATTACCAAGGAATAGCGTAAAAGTGGTAGGTTTCAAATTAAATTTTCTTTAAGAATATTAAAGAAAATACAAAAAGAGATTTAATATGTATAGTAAAATTTCATCTGTAAAATTTTATATATTTCTTTCTTTAGATTCATTTTAAGATATATTTAAATTTAAAATGGCATACTATATTCCCTCAAAATAATTTCAAATGAAATATGAATCGGATTATAACGTTTGCAACCAATTATGATAATAATAAATACTATTTAGACATAATATCACGCAAGCGGAACTCAATATACCCATTCAGAGCTGTTTGCTAAATATTTCATACATTTTAAATATTAAATATAATTTCTAAACTTAAAAAATTGACCGTTTTCAAGAACAGAAGTCGTTATATCTTGAGCCTCTTAAAATAAAAGAAAGGTACACTCTATCAGGCGCTTATTCTTTATATGCTTACTAAGAGATATTTTTCATGCGCCTGATTTGGCAACATTTTCTATTTCTATTTCTATTCATTCCTTGTATACTCTTCAGCAAATTTTTCTGAAGTAAAATTTTTCATATCGAATGTAATAAACCTGCATTAGGGAATTAATACTTGAAAAGATTTATAATTTATAGTTGCGAATTAATTAATAAAATTAATTTAAATCCTTGCTTTGTCAAGTTTTTCGTTTTGCGATTTATCAAAAGGATGCATAATTTAAAATTTAAACTTTCTTCTAATATATTTTTCTTCTTATATTACTAAACATAAAATTAAGAATAATTTAATGGATTTTATTATTCATCTAGCTCATATATAATATAGATAAATATATGAAAATGAATTACGTTATCACAAAAAGCACTTAATTCAAAAATTCCCTCTTCCAAAAAATAGAATAACTCTTCCATTTCCTGTTTTAAATTTTACTGGAGCCTGAAAGAGTGATAAACTTTTGATAGACTGGTATTGCATCGTTCACTATTTAAGAACACTTCTTAGCATTTTTACGAATTTACAAATGTACAACAGCATCATGTACCCCTCCTTACGTACGGTATATTACAACTACTCCAAAAATCGGTTCCACGTTTTTGCCACAGATATGTTGTTTAGATGCAGATGAATATTCTAAATTAATATTATTCAAAGACCTTTTTCATTATTTTATAAGCATTTTAAAGGATTTTAAAATACAGTTGTTTAGTAAAAATATCATTAAGATTCAAAATAGATTTCGAAATAATGTACACAAGGAGTGATACAACATTTCTTTATGACAGTACTTTTACCTTCCTTCTAACATGCCTCCGTGGTGTAGCTGTAGCACACTCGACACATATTCGAGAGGTGCAGGTTCGAGTTATGGCGAGGGTCTTGCATATTTTTCATGTTTCTTGCTTCAAAATAACCTAATGAATCTACAGTGGCACCCGAACTAAAATGTGGTGGACAATAGTCTGTCACCACCAGCATTAGGTTCTTTCAACGTCAGTCGCCCTTTAAAAGCGGAGTATATAAGTTATTTTCTCCCTTATTCCAGCATGCCTTCCTGATGTAATGGTAGCACAATCGAGAGGTCAAGGTTCGAATCCCGGGAAGAGTATTGTAAATTTTTCATGTTCCCTGCTTCAAAATAACCTAATGACTCTACAACAGAAAGAACGAAAAGTCGCATACGTTAAGTAAATGTCTTGTTATAAAATGCATTTAAGTTGTAAGAATTTTGTCGTCTGTTGCAATGTAGAAGTAGTATAATAAGGAGCATACATGCTACCTGTAGTCTGTTTTATGACATTTGTATAACAGCTGCATTTATGTTTTTAAGCAGACATGTCGTTTTTCTAAAAGCAACGATTTTTCATTGTTAAACAGTATTTTGCTGTTGTTTCCGTTGCCGAACATTCGGCGTAACAGTGTGAACAATGCAAGATTTCTAAGACATCATTACACTACGCTTCTTCAAGTCGATATGCGTTTAGTTTCAGTAAGACAGCGCCGATTCTCACACTTTTATTGAAACGCTATAATTATTGCGTAGGTTTTTCGACAACTGTATCATTTCAAAATGACTGTGATCCCCGCTTTCACCCAGTTTGCAGCCGCAGATTTCTTCCCTCCTGCTGAAATATCTTAAAGGAGCGGTCTATGCAAACATCGCGCTAACACTTACAAGGTATTTTTCACTCCTTTCCGCAAACATTCGTGATGCAATTAGAAACATACTCAAAGCGTGTTCGAGAGGTCCCGAGTTCGAGTCCCAGCGTGGGCATTGCACATTTTTCACGCCTCCTACATTAAAAAAAAACTTAATGCCTCTACAAGTGGTGCCCGGAATAAAGGATGGATAAGTGGTACCCGGAATAAAGGATGGAGAAGTGGTGCCCGATGATCATTCGTTACCACTCGGATTTGGCAATTTGATCCCCTAATCCGCAGTCTCCCTTTAAAAGGGAGAGTATATAGGGCATTTTATCCTGCCTTTCCGCATGCCTTCCTGGTGTAATTTGAAGCATACTCGACGCGTATTCGAGAGGTGCAAGGTTCGAGTTTCGGCTAGGGAACTGCACATTTTTCACGTCTCCTGCTTCAAAATAACTTAATGACTCTACACTCTGACTGGCATAAAGAGAAATTTTACCACATTGCTTAACAGCCTCAGTGTACAAATATTCTTCAAAGTAGCCTTAAAGATGGTAAAGAGCATGTGAATGCATTAGGGGGCAGAACTTCCATTTCAGGCATATGTTGCAATGACATAGTTCGATGTCGCATTTGTTGGCTGTAAGATAATAAACATCGTTTATAATTACCGTATATTAATTGGTGTTTTAAACCAGCAAACCTTTACTTACTTTCTGTGATGTACACTAGTTTTCGATCATTCTGTAAATTTTATTCACTATAGCGGTGTTGAATTTAGTCTGAACATTATAATCTATTTGGATTCATTACCTACTTAAATTAAAGCAATAAATTAACACTTTCTCGCGTGAAGCATGTTACTGGAACGCAAAGTATACCGTTTTACATAAACTACTGGCTCTTGCATCTTCCGAATTCATTCAAGCCGTTGCTAATTCCAACAAAGCATTCTCCAAATGTAATATTTAAATTACGTCTTACCCTTATTTATTAGAAAGGATTATTTATTATTTTTATTATACTTATATTTATTCCTAAGGGATTCAATTTAAAAGTAAATGAACAGACCAAAATAAATTTTCAAAAAAATTGAATCACGATAACAGTAAGTCTTCATTTCGTACGATATTTACATTTAGGATAAAATAAAGTTATTTTACCTTAATTTAAAGTACAAACATTTTTAAAGTACACACATAAGTATAATTTTGTTTTCATAGTTAAAAATATTTATGTATAAGGTAATTCTTAATTAATCTGTCATTCAACTATCAAACTTCTACTAAAACACTTTCTACTAACAAACTAGAAACTTAAAGTAATCTTAAAAGTTTACCTCTTTGTTTCTTAGATTTCCTTTCAAAACACTTCCGAACTCTCGAAGTCTCGTTACTTACATTAGTTCCTTCATAGAATATTTGGATAATGCGACCATTACGTCTTAGTAAAACTCTGGCAGGGAATTTATGGTGGGCTTGCTTCAGTTTCGCTTGTTATGGTCGTTAAAGTCTGCATTTTGATATAGCTGCGCGTTCGCATAGTTACCGAATTTTACATTGCCGTATCTATGTAGTAGACTCATTATTAAAGTGAACAATCACTTGAAAATAATAAGCAATGTGAATTTTTGCTCAAGACAGTACTAGTGAGCTCATTATTTACGTCCTTATAACAATCTATTTCGACTACCTATATGACAAATAATGTTCTTTACATTTCAGATTGATTGAACATTTACAACTTTACGTTTAGTCCAACTCTATACTATTTTGAAATTACTTTCATGGCATAATATTCCATTTCTGCTTCCATTTATATTCAGCATCTATAAATTTCAGTCTACAGAGATCCAAAGAATTTATGATCAAACACTGAATTGCTCGATAGGTTAAATAAATTTACAATAATTTTCCTTCTGCATTATTGCAGATGTTGAATAACAAAATTAAAGACGCTTGTCTGATAGATAGTTTTTCCTGCGTTGCATTAAAATTCTAAAACGTCTTCCTCATGCGTGGTATTTTGATGTCTTATATACTATATTACGCAAGCAAATCTGAACTACAAGGCCGGAGTCTCCCACTTTAAGACTTCTGCCTCACGGCCAAGGAAAGACCAGATCGCTATATTCGTGCAGTGAAGTGCTCTTTATTACTGTTGCCAGAAATCTACACCTTACTGGACCTTCGAAAGTGATTTTGGCAAATGCAATAAAACATTTTAACGCCTTCCGCAGACAGAGAAGTAATAATTGCAAATTATTGTGCTTTAGATGCACATAGTTGTCAAAGAAATAATTAACACAGGTAATTAGTTCTATATCTGATTTAATAGAAAAAGCAGTTTGACAAAAATGAGCCCCATATCAATGACTTGGATTAAACACAGATCTGTGACGGATTTAATCTGATTCCAGTAAGCAAGTCTTCTGAACTGGGCAAAAGAAGAAAAAATTCCAATCATACCGGTCTTTCGTCAAGCTGAACCGATATGATGTTATATAGGACCCGACTCGTGACAATTTTCTCCTAGAGTCGTGGCCTCATGCATACAGATGTGTAAACTACACAAACTAAGGAGTGTGTAAACTACACAAACTATGGAGTGTGTAAACTACACAAACTAAGGAGGGTATATTGAGTGCAAAGAGTATTTTAGAAATCGTGTGAAATAAGTCACGATTTTGACATTGTCGTATCTAGGGCATAAAGTCATAATCATGGCTACAGCGTATCAAAGAAACCTTTTGAATTCTTATTACCATTAATATGTCTATAGAAAATGTGATTTGGATTTTAAGTAATTTTGATGCTCTTTTTTAGTGTTTTTCAATTTATTTTCCGAAGTTCATGTAGGCCTGAAACTTACCCTGAGCAAATATAATAAAAATTATTGCA